CCAATTCGAAACTCTTTTACCCAAGATGGTATTTGGTGAGTGATCTCTCTCAGTCCTTATCTCAACCCGTGAACTCTTCTTTAGTTATATTTTCCATCCCCTGTCCAGATGCAGAGGGGGGTAATAGAGGGGCTTTGGTGAGTGCCTGGTGTCCAGCCAGGATCGACCCACTACACATTTGAGAACTTATAACTTTTATTTGTAAACACCTGGAGACACTAGAAAAATCTGGCTCCAAAAGCCTTAAGAGACATGGAACGGGCACACTGGAGCTCTGACATCACTTGCCAGTGAAATTCAGTAGAACAATCAATGCTAAAAGCTCTTTTGTGTAAGGAAGACAAGGCTGCTGCCAGGATGGCTTCATAAGAGGACTGAAGCACTCTTTGGTCCATGTTTGCTGACTTTTGGTGTAATCTCCAAGGATTTTTTATTCCCTTGGCTTTCTGGAAAAGAGCTGGAAAATAAAAAAAACCCACATGTGGACATGTCATTATTAAAACCATCTTGCTGTTTGTTAACTTGTCTGACATGATTCCATAGATTTAAGTACAAGCAAGACACACAGACTCCACATAGGTTTAAATTTTCTTCTCCCTTCATTTGTATTGGACAAGTAGGTCATTGCTTTACTCCAACTATGATAGTTCTGGCTAGTCTTTAAATAACTCAAAGAGAACTATCTGGACTCTGCTGTTGCTGCTTACGGTTTCTATCCATCTATCTCCTTCTTGTAACATAATTTGAGGTTCAAAAGAGAAAAACTCTTTTAGCTTTGCTGGTGCGTTGAGGTTTTTTGAGCAGAAAGTGATTAGCAATAAGTTTTCTTAACTTTCTTTGTGTCCATTCAGCCAACAATCAATGAAGTTAACTTGAATTGTGTTGTCATACTTCATACTGCCTGATGGCTCTCATCATCCCTACACACATCAAATCACTTCTGCTCTCACTGGGGCCACTTTCTCTGATTGCTCTCCACCTCAGCTTTTCTTTCAGTCCAGGACTGCTTGTCCTCCTCCAGCTATATCCTTACAGTTAATGAGTCTTCTCATTCATTCAGTCTGTCTCCTTGAAATTATTTTTAGACTGTGATCATCTCCCTTGAGCTGGCTATTTCTTAAGATAAATGCTATTTCACGTCATCTTTTCTCCTATGTTCCCCGTGCCTTATTACTCTTACATTTTAACTCTATATCCTCTGAGGATATCTAATGAAGACCTTTTGGCATGCAAGCCTTCAGGGCGGCCCGGTAGTGCAGTATGGAGAGGAATACCATCTACTACTTTTTTTTTATGAGATTCTTACTGTGCATAAGAACAGATTTCTGGTTTACTTCAGAGTTGCATCCCCTCATTTCCTCTATACTGCCATTGCAAAGACTTCTGAGACTTAGAGGTGACACCATTTTTTCAGATAGTCACACTTAAAATAGACAAGCCACTAAGCAAATGTCAGTGGTTTCTGTGCAAGGTCTTTAGCAACAGGGAGCTTTTACTTCAGCCACTAACATTACCAGAGAAGAAATCTGGTGGTCATCTGATTTTCCAAAGCCAGAGAAGCTTAAGTGCTTTATTTTTAAAACTTTTGCAAGTATTTAGACATTGTCACAAGAAATCATGTTCCAAAATATATTTGCTATTGCAGCTGCTATGTAATGAAATGCAAATAGTAAGTAATCACTCTTTAAGCACAGAAGATGAGAATCTTCTATTATTTATCCTTAGGAAACTTTAGAGCCATTGAACAGATTTAGAATTTGCCATTAGATATGGCCATTGAGCTCAGCCTTCATTTACTAAATCATAGCTAAGAGCAATGATTTCACAGTGTTGACCCCTGTTACATTTTCTTGCCAAGGATTTCTTTAAGTATGGAAAGGTATGACAAGAAACGGATGTCAGGGCGGCTGACTAATTAAAAAATACTCTTAACTGTTCCTGCAGAACCACTACCCCAAACAGGGCAGTCTGCACACTTGGAAATGAGCAGAGAAATAAGCCAATATACAGGGTCAGTCTAATGTTACATTTTTATAGCTCTTTGCATCCCAGAAGATCGTAACTGTAAAGGCTGCATCCCTCTGAAAGTCCCACCATGACTGCTGAAATCCAGTAGTTTGCTGCAAATGAACCATTTAGGTACATAAAATGGTGATGCAGTAATTTCCAGTCAGGAACACAGGTGTCTGACAGGAAGAATAGTTGTGCATGGCTGTGCTGCAGTGACTCAAACTGGGATCTGTCTGTGCTTCTGCAAGGACTGAAATTTTGTGGTAAGGGCAGACAGCTGTAACCCTGACACAGGGGCTGAACATGATCCAGCCCTGATGTGAAGAGGTAGCAGGCTTCCTGGGCAACTAATATTGAACTGGATGGATTCTGTCCTTGCAGATTGGCCCTCTGAAACTCTGAGTTGTTTTGCCCTTCTCAGTGTACAGCCCTAAGGAGCTTTACAGTCCGAAGCACTGTGGCAGCAGGTGCCAAGTGCCATGAGCTGCCCAAGACTGCAGTGTCCCTCAAAAGCCAAAAGCAAAGGGCAAAGATGTCAAACTATAATTTCTGCTGGTTGGAGGTGCTTCTGGCTGGTATGTTGAAAGCCTGTTGTCTTTAAGTCTACAAAAATGGAGAAGTTGGATCAGCTAGTATGTGGAACAAGGATAATCCTTCCAAGGCAAAGTGTATGACATGAGACTCTGGCTCTTGTTCCAGTGTCTAGGTGACTGTCTGCTCACCTTGACACCATTTGCCAGGAAGGAAAAATTTATGTCAAGATGCTGTTTGTGGGTGATGGTAATAGCTTAATTTTCCCATAGCTTTGAGTTGACAAGCTATGAGTTTGGTAGTGTAATTTATAAATAGAAATTAGAATGGGTCTGCAAATTGACTATTAGATGCATTTTTAGATTGGTCATTACACTAAAATAGGGAGGATGAAAGGACTTCTCAAAAATCACATGCTGAATTATTGGCAAAGCCAATAAACAAATCCTAATTTATTCCTTTGACACATCCGTGTGTATGCTCTAACAAATGTACAGAGACAGCTAATGACAGCCAACTGTCAAAAAGCACAATACAGCTCATGTAAAAAATCAGAATACCTTTTATTGTTCACTATTAGAGAAAATACAGCATATTACACATGGAAACAATGGTGTGTTCATGCGAACACACACAGTGTGGAAGGATGTATATCCTCCATGTTTTAGTTATCCAGCTAAGGGTTTTTCCAGTATATTTTGAAGGTTACTTTGCTCATCACAATAGACTTCATTTGTTATTGATTCAAGCGTGTATTCAAGTGTAGAGCAGTCAAAGATGGTTACAAAGCCTGTAGGAATGAGTGACTCCATTCTGGCTGGTGAGAAACACAAGGATAAAAGCAAGGTGCATTCCACTATCAGGAACACACCAAGAGCCTTTCTGAGGAAGAAATCACATTTTTCACGGCTTGTCAGTATACTCCCCAGCCTATTAAAGAGAAGCAATGGATTCCTATCCAGCCCACATAAGCTGATGCAGTTAGCCTAAACAGAGGCTTCTCGTTGCAGCTGCTGGGGAATCCAGTGCTATGATCCTGGTAGAGATGTTATGGTATCCTTTCTTAATGCATCTATAAGTATGGGATCTCAGCACTGATCTAATGGGCTGCTGCTACACCTAAAAAACAACTGACACATGAAGCTGATGAATCCCTGTAGTAATTCTATTAACATCCTTAATGAAGTTATAACATGGGTGATTTTGCCCCTCTGCAGCAATGCAAGAGGGAATTGCCCTGGAGAGCCTGTAACTAAAGTGTGGCAGGGATGTCTGATAAAAGCATTTTTCTGCTTGTTTTAGTGCAAAATGAAGTGCCCTGATGGGCTGGAAAACCTCCCTGTCTTCTGGGGTTTTGAACTCTTCGCAGTACTAATGGTGCAGGTGTCCTCTGTGAGAGGGTGATGCATCAGGGCTCTGACACAGCAGCAATGTTCTTGGCACCCTCCCAAGTGCTTGCTGTGTGGCCACACTTCCTTGTCTTTCACAGGTATGCATAGCCTGTCTTATCACACAGCTTCTTTAAAACAGCATTTTCATTCACCTTTGTGGTTTCCTCTCCTTGTCCCTCCATCTGGCCATGATTTATCTGCTTGCTGCTCCCTGTCAGAAGGGCAGCTTTGCCTGGACTCTGCCACTGGACAAAGGATTACCAAAAATAAGCAGCAGAGTTACAGTCTTGACCTATCATTGTATAGGGAATAGATCAAGAAAAGAAATGAGAAATTCTCAATTTCTTTTTGTTTTCCTCCTGATTTGCTAGCCTGTGGAGAGAAGGTTTACCTGGTGCATTAACCATGTTCATTGCCTGTTCTTAGGACAGCTTGATTGCATTGCAGTTCTGTCACTAAGGGCTTGTCAGTATTGTGAATCAAGAATCATATCTTGAGATTGAAGGGACCCACAAGGATCATTGAAATCCAACTCTTTGCCCTGCACAGGACAATCCCAAGAATCACACCGTGTACCTGAGATCATTGTCCAAACACTTCTGGAGTGATGCTCTCATGTGAAGTTACCTCAAGTACATAAGAGCCAAAAAGGCACTCCACAAAACCCTCCCAAAAGACTAGACAACCTTTTTACAGTCTTCCACAATAGCCCAGGCTCCTCCTGAAGTTTGTTAAGACTGTATAGAGTGACTAATGGGGCTGGGGACTGGGGGATTCAGACAGAAAGCCACAGGAGAGTCTGACTAAGTTTTCTGCTACTTCAAAGACTGTTTTGCCACATATGCAGGTGCAGTGATGTGACTACGAAGCTGCAGTATCTCATCTACGCGGTTTGTGATTTCCATGTTAATATGCTAAATGTATTCTGTTTCATAGCCCATCCTTTCCTCCCACAGCAGCTGCAATCCCGAGAGATGGAGTAGCCCAGCTCTGTAGTAATCCAGGAGACAGTGGGAGAGAACAGGGAAGGTGTTGTGTGCACGGGATGCGCACACACGCACGGGAATTTTATTTCTCTTTCTGCCTACGGTATCTACCCTCCGCGTTCCGCACAGGGATGAAAAGTCCTAGCAGCCACTTCTTGCCAAAGACTTCTTGCAGGTTGTCCCTCCAGGGCCGGGCTCTTACCACCATTCCTTTCCGCACCTGGTACCGTGTCTGCCCACGCAGGATCAGCAGCATCTGGTGACAGCAGAAGCCAGCGCAGGCCAGTCCAATCCCAAGCCAGAGGTAGAGCATGAGGATGACAAACATCTCAGAGCTAAGGAGAGCTCCTGAAAACCAGGAGAGAGGGAGGACAATATAACAAAGAGCTTAGATACACCCCACATGCAGTATAACACAGCCCTAAGAACCAACAAGCCACCTGTTTTCTCTGGTCGCAAGTGGGGAGGTAGGAACAAGACAGACTGGCTGCTCTAACTATATTAAATTATCTCCTTCACAGTGTCTGATGCAATGGACCTGCTGCAGAAATATTAAAATGATAATAGTCTCTTGTACATTCTCCTTTTGCTGTTAATGTGACGATCTACATTATAGAGACAAATTCAGCCAGAAGTAAAGCATATCTGTAAGACTCCAGCACTATTCTGAACTATGATCAATTTAAGGATTTACCTGCTCATCACAGGGAATCTAAGATTTCTAGGATTTTGAAAAGACAAGTAGATCCTTCTAGCATGTAGATCCTCCCAGAAGCCTTACTGTTTGTATTAACACAAGGCAGAAATATTTCAGATTTCTCTTTTTCTCTATCTCTACTGTATGACTATGTGTGCATACATATATACATATATACATATATACATATGTTAAAAAAGAAAAACAAATCAATAATGACTTTCCTACCTTTGGGGCAATGCAGTTTTCACGTGAATGCAAAAAAGAAACAGAAACTTATAAAATACAATTAAAATTCTTTTTATTAACTGCTGCTAGAATACTCAAAATACTTTGAATATCTGAAGCTCCTAAATCAACTAGGGGCTTTTTAGTATATCTTTGTGATAAATGTATTTGAATAAAAATATTCTGTAAGCCCTTTCCTCTACAATGATTTTAGAACTCCTTCTGGAAAATAGTATAACAGCAGGTGTCACTGAATGACCTTTCAGTGTGTAAGCAGATATAAACTCATTAATATAACATTCTCTGTGTGCCCATATGATGTTTATGCACATATTTTGTGCATATTGGTGTATTATTAAACACCCATATTTACACACAGGCATATTTACACAAAAGAAATGAAATGTGTGTCAATACTGGTATAAATAGCTGATCTCTTTTCACTGGTTCCTATAAGGTTTAGAAATAAAAAAGCTCCCACATGCTTCTGTTCCTCTAGAACTCCATGGGCCCTAGAAAGCCAACAGTAATAGAGCAGGGATTGCATGGACTATCGAGGTGTGCTGCCTAAAAGAGGCACATGGGTGCTTCAGGTTTTAAGTTCAACAGAAGGGCCATGGATATGCATCTCTTGCTTCCCTTATGCAGAAGGCTGGATTAGATGGTATCACTTGGTTTTGCAATCTGTGAATCCCATCTTTTCCACCTGGCAGTGCTGTAAGTGAGAGATTGGGGCAGGCTCCTCTGAAGATAATTTGTAAGGACACTGACTACAGCCTCAAGCTTTCAGAGATTGTCTTCACTTGAAAAAGGTGCAGGAATCATTCCGTTTTCTTCCTAAATGCAATGTCATCTTTCCCTTCTTATTAGATCCCATTCAGCTCAGCAGGCTCCATATGCAACACAGCAAGAGAAGAACAAGTCCCTTAGGATAATAACAAATCCTTATACCAATTCTGTCAGAATAATTTAATCTACCAGGTAGGAAGCCCAGATCCAAATACTGGATTCTCTGTCCCTCTTTTACTGGACCAGAGTGTGACAGACATTTTTTTTTCCTACAGCTGATACTGAGATGAGATATGGAGAGAGAGATTTTCTTTAGACCCTTTGCAAGGCACCTATAAGCTTTATTTATCTGACTTGCTGAAATTCAACATTCAGGAAGTAATTACCCTTGTTTCCCCTTGAAAATATTAAGCATCTCTCAGTCATCCTTTCCAGATATGTGACTTTTTTTAAACCTTTTCTTCAAGCTACCTACATAAAGCATTTTCTATAATTTGTGTGGTCCAATACAATGTGTTTACAATACTGCTCTCCATTTGCCCCTCATCCCCACAGTCTTTTTTAGTCTTGGATTCTTCTTTGCTCTAAGTGACCCAGTATGATCTCAAGCTTATATTGCCATATATTATCCATGCCAGAAAAGCTGTATTATAGGTTGTAGTTATCGACTTTGGGTCAGATTCTGAAATTCATGCCTGAGTACAGTCTGGGCAGAATGAGCCAACTGAAAACTTTCCCAGCATGAAAGCAGGGAACACTTAGTTGACATAAAACCAGCAGATTAACCCTTTCATCTTCTTTTACTACTTCTGTGGTACAGTGAGCATGATGGAGAAGAAGAAAGATAAAGTTTTTTTCCCTGTTATCGCAGTCCTCTGTTTGGATCATACAACAACCCTTAAGTAATAGTTACATTAGCTGAAAAATACTGGGTGAGCAACCCTTCCAGGTAACAATTCAAGACTGTATTTTTCTTTCCTGAAATGGAGGTTAAATGTGCTGGTAGAAAGCCAGGAGGCCCTTCCTCCCAAGCAATCAAGACACCACATGCCTGTATCTTGCTGTGTGAGGCAGCAGTTTTCTTCTCAGCAGAACTAGAGGTTTGGTGGGAGCTGCTGGAAGCTGCTGCCTCTCAAGGGTGTTCTGGTTCTTAGCTCTGCACCCAGCCCCATTGTGTCCCACTCAAACACTGCCTACATGCTGTCTTGGCACCAGAGCTGGGGCACTTCAGTGTCTCTGCAAATATATGCCAGGATCCACCTCTGTGCAGATGAGTCCTCAGTCAGAGAGAACTAATTCCTTGATAATCTCCTCCCATATTCCTGCTCCCCCTCCCAGACTGCTGTGCTGAGCAGAGCTTAGGCATAGAGGAAAATCATTCCCAGTGTTTTTAATGCTAGTAAAGCTCATGCAATATTATTTACAAAAATTCTTCCAGTTGGAAAAATGATTCCATAAAAATGTCATGGCAGGATTTCATGTTTATTGTCTTTCAGTGATTACCATGACAAATCTGCAAATTTGCCAAGTAGAGAGCATTTGTTTGTTTTCAGATGGCAACCCAGCCTGGAATCTGAAAAGCAAGCCAGGGCCTCTCTGGCTCCTGTATTCCCAGCAGTGGAGTCTCCACACTCAGATTTTAATCAACACTTCTGGTGACAGTGTACAACCCAAAACAGACTCCCCTCTTACTGAGCTCAGCTGAACCTGCAAAGCTAAAATGTGTGGGATACCTATTTTAGTCTAGTAAAAGCTGATGTAAGTGTATGAGGCAGGAGCTGCATGGGGGGAGATGGCAATTTTCAGCAGTCACTCTCAGGGCAGTGTAACAGTCTAGGCTGTCCGCATAATCCCTTCTCTGAGGTCGGGATCCATCTGTCTCTTGGGTTTGGACAGAGAAAGGGTTGAGGTTGGAGAGTTTGAGGGTGTGTTGAGAGGTGAAGAGGCAAGGCTTCTTGCTCTGCGAGAGCAGAGGATGACTTATGAGAGCAAAATCAGGAGAGGGAAAGAAAAGGGTTGTGGAGATTTACAAAAAGGCAGGGAGAGAGGGGAAAGGGGAAGAAGTAGAAAGAAGGGTAAGGAGTGGTAGCAAGGAGAAGGAGGTATTTGCTTTTGGTGTGGAGCTTTTGCAAAGAGCAGCACAGAGAATTTCCCTTGGTTCTCTGTGGACTTGTGTCCCAGACTGGGGTCACAAGACAGGGAGCTAATCCTGTCATATTAACTCCTCTCTCGGTTTCTGTCTCCTGAACCCCAATTCTCCTGTGCTGGAGATGAAAATATCTCAGTAAGTTTGCACTGCCAGAAGGCAGGAGGTGAGTGACAGTGAAGGGAGTGAGTGGACCTGGATAAGATATACCTGTTGGGATATGGGTATACCTGCTGCAGATTCGTAGGGTACAAAAGCCTACAGGACCCCCCCACCTCTACCTGTAGGACAGGCAAAGGATCCCCCATACCTGCAGTGAAATCTATCTCCTCTGTCTAATTATAACACATGTCTGCACAACAGATAGTTCTATTCTATCACCACCAAGTTGGTTACGGGGCATTTTCCAGAGCCTAATGCATTGGAAATATAGCTATGGATGTAACCTGGAATGTAGCACTGTTCTGTTCACCAGCTTCTATTTCAGGTGAAACAAAGTCTTTTGAAAAGACTGGCTGTAGCCTCCAAAGAAGGCCAATTGCCCCTCTTGCCCATTTCCATACCACACCTCCACACAGATGGCTATCCAAGGGAGATCAGGTCCCCCCATCCCAGGAGCCCTGGAGGAGGAATATGCTCCACATTAATGAGCAAGTCCTTACCTGAGAAGAATTGGCTGATGGAGTGAGGCAGAAGAGTAAGGAAGGCCAGTGGGTCCGCAAAGGACATGGAAAGTGTAGCAGAAATGTAAGCCATGCCTGCTACCACGGAGTCAAGGCAAGCCAGGGAGGTGTAGAGGCAGAACATGATGAAGTTTCGCATGTTCCTGCTCCCGATGCAGTTCCCTGTGAAGAAACAGTGGTGGTCATGCCTCTGGGTGACTCTGGCACACAGTCTACAGAAGTGAGTGCTGGGCAAGGCTGAGCCAAGGGACCTGTTTCCATCCAGCCAGTCTGCCACTTCAGCTCCTTCGCCCAAGTTTAAGTCCTTGCCCAAGTCCTCGGGGGAGCTCTGGATCACAAGGACGTAGTTGCCCAGGGCATTAGCTGAGAGGAAGAGGAAGAGGGCCCCATGCAGCAGAGCAGGCGAGAAAAGTGGGGTGGTGGAAGGGTCTCTGAACATGCTGGGGATGAAGACAAAGATCTGGAGGACGAAGGTCACTAGGGAGATGCACAAGAAGTAGGCTGGAGCGACAACATTGAGCAACCTGAGAACTAGCATTGCGGATTACGTTCCTGCGGGGGAAAGCAAGGAGAGAAGGAACATCACCGCTCCGGCTGCATACTTCATCCTTCCATTTCCTGCCGGGTCTCGGCCCCCCCGCCTTCGGGAAATGCCCTCCGGGGCCGCTCTCCCTCGCCGCCTTCCCACGGCCCCTGCCGGGCCGAGGCAAAGGGACAGCCCGTGGGCAGCGACCCCTTCCCGGTGCCTGGGGGAGACACTCCGGCCCCGGCGCCAGCCTCCGGGGAACTTGCAGCAGCGGTGCCCCGGAGGGGCTGCAGCGGCTGGAAGGGGAGAGGCGGCTCCCGCGGTGTGCTGGCGATGTGAGCACTGCTCTGTTCGCCTAGCAGAGTCTCTCTGCCAGGCAGGGTCAGTTTTGGTATTGCATGAGAGGAAAAAAGGTGGTGCTGGAGGAGGGGGGAGTGAATTGGAAAGGAGGGGTGGGAGGAGGAGAAGGGGTGGGGGGAGAGGTTGCTCTAATCCACTGCAATACGGATCAAATCCAATGCTCTAATTTATCCCTTAAAGCCACGGATCTACAGATTACCTCTACGACCGCTGCCCTGTTCTGCACGAAATTAGAAAATAAACAAAACAGCTGGTCAAGCGCTGTCCGGATGCAACCTGCGGCGCTCGGCTAGCGAGTCGGGGCAGCCCCGCAGCTGCAGCCGCAGCTCTGGCCGGGCACGATTCATCCCGGCCGGACGGGCGGTCATCCCGGACCCCGGGGCTCAGCCTGCATCGTCAGGGCACGGACAGCCCCGGGATCCACAGGCGGCGGGCAGCGAGCTGGGTGGCGGTGTGGGTGCACGGGCACGCCGAGCACACCCACGCCGGCAGCCTCAAGGACTCTCCAGCGCCGGTGTCTGCAGAGCCCCGGCGGCCCCGGTCCCGCCTCGGCCCCGCGGCGCTGCGGGCTCACGCTGCCACCTTGCAGTCCCCTTGTCCCTGAGCGCGGCGGGTGCCGCCCGGTACCGGAGTGTCTGGCACCGGTGGCCGCTGCTACAGCCGGCCATGCCGACATCCCCACGGCAGCCGAGCCAGAACGCAGCCTGGAGTCTGCCCTGTTCTCCCTCTCCCTCTTCCTCGTCCTCTCCCTTCCTGCTCTTTTCCTGCCTCCTCTCTGCCCCTGCCGCGTGTCTGTCTCTCTCCGTGCAATGCCCTATGTCTTTCCCTGGCCCTGTCCTAGTCCCTGTCCTCGTCCTTGTCCTCGTCCCTGTGCTTTTCAATCCCGGACTTCTCCCTCTCTCGCTATATCTCCCTCCCCCGTCCTGTTCTTGTCGGGTCGTCTCCCTTCCCGACCCTCCCGGTGTTTCTGCCCCCGCCCCGACCCGTCTCCACCGTAGCTGTCCCTTCAGCACCACCCGCACCTGCTGCAGCTCCTTCCATCTCCCAGCGAGCGCAACCCTGCCCAGGAGAAGAGAAAGGTGTTCTTGGGCCTCTGAGGTCCTGACAACTTCCACGGGGAGAGCAGAGGGATGGAAAGAGACATTCTACTGCTCTAGCAAGCAGAACACCATTCCTTCCCACAGTGTGGGTGAGGGAGGCAAGGTGAGGTTTCTGTGTGTCCCCGTGCCTCCTCAAACTGCCCCTGTTGCAACCAGCACTGGAGGCAAGGGGAAATGTTGGGGGGAGTTGTCGCAGGTTCAAAGCCTCCCTTAATATAAGCAGGAATGTCTTTGATCCGGGCAGGTGGTGCCTGGGCAGTAGCAGTAGCCTTGTGCTGGTAGAAGTTTTGCAGACGTGTTTGCACTCTGACAGCTACACACCCTCACTCCCCTCTGCCCACCCACACTCTTCTTGTAGTGTCTACACAGGCTCTGTGCACAGCCTCTCCTTCTACACACCTACGTGTGCACCCTCCCAGCTCTGATGAATAGCATCCCTGTCTCCCTCCACAGATGAGCCACTCATGACAGAAGGGGACAGAAGAGGGTTATTAGGATGCAGCTGTGTTCCTAGAGACAGTAAAATTCTGCACTGGTGAAAAGTCAAAGAAAAATGCATTTTACCTAATCTTAGGTCCTAGGCTTACTGGCCAGCCCCTCAGCACAGACTCTGCAACTCCACAAGAGACTCTCCCTTCGCCCGAAGGTTCAGAGCAAAATGAAACTGTGTTTCATGTCTCAGTTCCTAGGGAGAGAGGACTGGAGGAGAGAGCGGCTGTGCTTGTCTCCTGCACGTGCACTAGCACGGAAGGTGATGGCAGCAACCAAGTGTTCAAGGGCTCTTTATTAGAAATCATTTTTCTCCCAGCTAACTTTCATGGTTCAACATTTCTGAGAAAAGCAGTGGCAATAACACAAGCAAGTGCAAACCAAGCCTGTAGGAACTGGATCTGCAGTGACGAACAGCTAAGAGACACCTCTGGCAGAACTGAAGGGGAAGCTGCTCAGAACGGATCTAGTTTTCACTCCCACCTCCCTCATTCTCCTGTCACGACTACTGAGAATAAAAATCCTCCAATATTCCCCTCAACTCATCAATTTAAAGTAGACTGAGCCTTGCAATAGAGATGCATGACCCAGTCTAGGTTTTATCTTTAAATAATCAGACAGTGTTTTCTCCATATTTTAACAGCTTACATCAAAATAATAATAAAAAAAGAAAATTACAGAGAAATCTTTTCATGTCACGAAAGACTCCCAACTGAGGGGACTGCATCTCATGAAAGACATTAAGCCTGCCTGCATGGGGAACATCAAAAGCTGTAGCCAAAGCGGGGGGAGGAAGGGAAGGGAAGGGAAGGGAAGGGAAGGGAAGGG